GTTTACCCTTCACATCCCTTCCCAGCCTCCCCCCTCCCCCCCAACCCAATCCTTCCCCCCCTTCCCCCCCCTCCCCGCACCAACGTTGTAAAGCTCGTTTTGGACATGACAACTTGTACTTCTCATTGTTGCAACAGGTCCACCTGTATTGAATAATATTTCATTTTAGGGATGAACCATGGTTTTGTAATCTATTTACCTTCTAAGATACCTTTGGTGATTCAATATTTGGAAAAATATAAATAAAGTTGCTGTAAGCATTTGGGGAAAGATTTTTTTATGTAGAGATTAGTTTGAAATTAATTTGGGCAAATATCAAAGAAATTACTACTGTTTGATATCATATGATTTATTTTCTGAGAAATTACCACTGTCTCCTAAACTGGCTATGCATTTGCATTTTTAGCAATAATTATAAAGAATTATTATTCATATCCTCAGCAGTTTTGATGTTAGAAGTATTTTGTATTCTTCCATACCAGTAGGTGGGTAACAGTATACTACTGTTTTAATTTGAAATTCCTAATGACATATGATGTTGAACATATATCTATATGCTTAATTACCATCTGCATGTCTTCCTTGTGAGGTTTCTATTCAGATCTTTGGTCTACTTATTTTTATTGGTTTACTTTCTTATTGTTGAGATTAAGAACTTTTATTACTTTGGATATCATCTATGTGTTTTACAACTAATTTCTCTCAGCCTAGTGTTTGCCTTTTCATTTCATTTTCTTGTATTTTACAACTCATAAAATCCTCTGAGTTTGGAAAATCAATATCCATCCACAGGGAACATCAGAGATCCTATTTCTTTTTTGGCGGGGGGGGGGGGGGTCCAGTCGTGGGGCCTGAACTCAGGGCCTGGGCGCTGTCCCTGAGCTCTTCAGCTCAAGGCTAGCACTCTACCACTTGAGCCACAGTGCCACTTCCAGCTTTTTTCTTTTTGCTTATGTGGTGCTGAGGAATCGAACCCAGGGCCTCAGGCATGCAAGGCAAATGCTCTACCACTGAGCCACCTTCCCAGCCCCAGAGATCCTATTTCTTTAGGTGCATCTGAAAGCGATCTTCTACTTTCTGTCAATGCATCAGTGTACAATTATATATCTCTACATATATATATATATATATCATATATAACTATACTTAGTAGTAATAAAACTATATATAATTTTTATAAAACTAATTATTCCATGTCAGTCTAGTTGCAAATTTCTTTGTAGAAAATTCAAACTTATTCCTGGCACTTAATTTCAAGCATTCCAAACACTGCTATTTACTTAGTAATTAATGTTTATCAAATATAAATTTTATTTTAATTTTCCTTTCATTAAAAAGGGATTATATGTTTTATATTATTAATACTGTGCTATAGCAATTATGATAATACAATTTTAACTAATTCATTTAACTAAAGTTTTTGGATAAATGCTGTTTAATATGAATATTTCAATGATCTATTACTAGAATTATTCATGATACAAATACAAATAATTGTAATAGTTGCATACATGTGGTATAATCTGCAACAAATATAAATTAGATATAACACATAATACTGATAGCATAGTAGTTGATAAAATTGATTTTTTTACAAAATAACATAAAAACTTCTTGCCAAGATGACATAAATTTTAAGGAACAAATATTGAATTATACAAATCCCAATTTCAGATCATTTTAATATCACTGAATTTAATGCTTTCATTTGTATTTTATACAGCTATTTTTAGCTTTATAAAAAGATATCTGTTATTAGTAATAAATGTGGAAGAATTAAAAACTTGTGTGTTTAAGGGGATATTAAATCCAAATTTGAGAGATAATCTTCATCATAATTCAATGCTTCTTTTTTCATTTGTATAGCTGCCTGTATTTTTAGCTTTAATCAAAAAGATATATAATATTAGCAAAAAAAGTGTATGAGCTAAATACCAGGGTTATTATTCAGAGTTGGGATTCATGACTTGAGAATTTTTTAGAAAGGAAATCCTCTAAGTTATCTAATTCTTACTGTTTTAAAGCAAATCTCACAAGAAAGATAAATGAATTAACTATTGGTAAAGAAAAACAGACAATATTAATATAGTGATTTTAATTTAATTTACTGACTTAGATTCTTAAAATTGGCACAGTGATTCTTGATGAAATATGCTAAACTCCTCTTTCATCTTGTTATATGTAAAATTCTTGATGAAATTCTCCTACAAACCAGTAAGTCAAGAACAAAGTTACCATTAAAAGACAGGGCTAGAATATGGCTTAATGGTACAGAGCTTGCCTAGCATGCATAAAGTCCTGGGTTAGATTCCTCAGTACCATATAAACAGAAAAGGCCACAAGTGGCACTGTGGCTCAAGTGTGGTACAATGCTAACCTTAAGCACAGAGAGGCACTCAGAGACAAAGCCCAGGCTCTGAGTCCAAGTCCCAGGTTGGGCC